GACGCGCTCGTTTTCTCAGACGCTTGCAGAAAAAGGCTTCCCAAAACAGTTACTGGGTTAATCTTTTTCACATTTCCTTGGTTGGTAGATGCACCAGAGACCTGATTATAGCACTTAAAACCTGGAAAAGTGTTCTCATCTCATTCAGCAATGCATTCATCATACGTCCGTGATTAGTTACGACTCTCAGCTGCTGCACAAAGACTTCAGAAACCTTTGGACTGACAGGACAAGAGTGGACCCAAGATGAATGCTGGTAATTAACAATTTGTTAGCAGCAGATATAATCACAACATCAAATGAATAGACGCTTCACTGCCAGATACAACAGACCTATAAACAAGGATGGGAGTCATAAGGAATTTAATGATTCAAGTTCTGATTCTTTAATGCTTCCATTAATGATTCGTTTACTACTTTTGTGAAAACGTTTGGAAAAGATGCAAGTCCTATTGCACACACTACCCTCAGCAGCCCAGTTCCATATGATGAGTTCATTACAAAAAGTGTGTTTGCAAACTCTTTAAAACGATGTCAGTCTTACCTGCATGAGCATGTAGTAAATGCCTGCCAGACCATGAGCTGCTCCCACATACTGTTTCTTATGCCACTCGTACAGCAGTGGGCAGCGCTCGGCTTTCTTCTCCTCTTTAGACAAGTTCTTCCCTGACTCCAGAACAGCAGTCACCACCTGGGAACAAGAGAGAGCGCACTGGGATCAGATAATGGTCTTGTTATGGATCAAAGCGTCGGTCACTTTCCAGTAATCAGCAGGTTTATTCACAGCGGTTCAGCAAGGGTTAAAGAACTGATTAAAATATGCCGTCAGCAAATGCAAAGTAACCAAATGACTGCACTGCAGCAATGCCACGGTGAAACCTAACAGAACTGTCAAAAAGGCTACAAATGTCACACCTGGGCTATAAAATGTGCTAGCAAAGACTATCGTTAGGAGAAACTATGTATTCAGAATGTGCATAATAGTGAAAACCACAAACTGCTGTATGGAAAACAGTCATGCACGGATTCTTCAATTCTCCTTTTGTGTTGAACAGACAAAATAACAACATGAGGGCAGGTAAATAATGACATTTGTCATTTTTGGGTGAACTATTCTTTAAAAAAGACACACTGAAGAACATACTGGACCATCTTTGTAAATGTTTGACACAAACAACAAGCACACACCTTTATTAGAAGTACTGTTTAATGTACTGCATGTAATGTATATGTAATGTACATTAACATCAAATTTACTACGTTTACATAAACTTGGATAAAAGATCCAAATCAAAAATACATCACAAAATCAGACAAAAAAAAAAAAAGTTAAACATCCAAAAAAAACAAAGCCTCAAAAACTGACAAAACAAAACCCCAAATCAAACCCCCCCCCAAAAAAAGACCCTAAATCAAAAACCCAGTAACAAAATCCTGATGTAAAACCCAATAAAACAAAAACTAACCCCAAACCTCTACAAAACAACAAAATTCGTCTAAATTAAAGCCCAACACAACAAAACACCAAATCAGAAACCCAACTAAACAAGCAAACCCACTGAAAGGTTTTGATTGTGTCTGGCAAACCTGATTAAAATGTGGAAATGAAATGAAGTGAAATGAGATGAAATGAAATGCCGCCCACAGCTTTCTGAACCTCATTCTCTGCAGTTCAGAGAGAGAGCCACATGACGGATGGGATCAGACACGACACACGGCTCTCCGAGAGTGCAAAGCTGCGTCATCTGGGGAGCACCGCAGCGACAGACGAACAAATACATCTGCCTAGTCATGAAGCAGAAGACGACAGATCAACTAGGAAGTGATAGATCGAGGGAGAAGAGGAGAAATGAGAGCAGATACAAGCAGTGAAAAACAGATTCAAAACCAGATTCGGAGTAATTGCATTTGCAGATAACGTCGCTGAGGCTATTTCAGGCAATGGATACTGGGCAACGTGCATTCAGCACAAGCTATAGATTTACCCAGGGATAAGAACGACCTCCGGTCAGCAAAGATGAGGCTACAACACTGTGCATACTTCAGCGTGATCAGCTACGATACATCACCTACTGAGATGAAGACTGCAGTCACTGGAGAAGCATCGGAAGTTACTATCAAACTATCTATTTTCAGATGCAATCAACTGAGAGCAAAAAGACTATTACTGTGTGTGTCATCTGGAGTATTCATCATGCTATAAAGACTAATTAATTAAAATCATAAAAATTATACAATTTAACAAAAAATTATTAAAAGTTTAACAAAAAAATAAATTTTTAGCGCCTTAAGAAATATGTTTTATATTTTTCACAAATTCGGTGTGTTCAGTTTTAATGGTCTAATTAAATATTAAAAATCAAAAAAGCATAATTTTGAGCTATTCATTCAAAATCTGCTAAATTCCGTGACATTCTGCTTTACTCAGTAAATTACATTTTTATGACTGCATTCTGTGGCAATCATAGGTCCCTAATATTGTGTATAAGCCTACTTGTTTTTATTAAAATCAATATGTTTATGCTTGTTCATTTGATTATGAACTAACCACTGTGCAGTAATTACAGTATTTTGTAAACAGTTTTATTAAGGGATATACAGTATGTTACTGCAATCTCACACTGCAGCACATCTGTTAGTTTACTATATGGGTGTGCGATATGGCAAAAATATCATATCACGTTTTTTTTTTCAGGAAAATCACGATTCACAATTTTATCACGATACTTTGTCATGTTGGTTTTACTATTTTGCAAGTTATCTGAGCCAAACTAATTTCCCTATTTTAGTATAATAATGACATAAAATAAAATGTTTGGGTGAACTGTCCCTTTAATGAGGAGCGCAGCATGTTTAGTGCTATTAGTCTGCTGTCACTTTAAGAGCTGCACGCATCTGTTTCTCTCTCAACTCTTTACTTTCACTTTAGACATAACCAGCTGTAATCATATGTAAACTTCACGTGTTTTTGACAGTATTAGCACAATCAGACGTGAAAGATAACTCAGTCCAGTAATCAGCCGCTGTGTGCCTAAAAGGGTAAATCTCACAAAAAAAATAAACATTTAAAAAATAAGTAATTACGTTTTACAAACCGAGAAATGAAGACTATTAGCAGCATTTAGATTTTCTACATTGCAACATTCATTTAATGAGAATTAAGCACACTTTTCCTGCCAAATTCTCAATGCATCTAAACATACTTTTACTGAATCAGAGTAAAATAATGTAATGTTTAAATTAATTTTTACCTTTTAATGGGCATTTTTACCTATATAAAGCCATTTTTCTATAAGTGTGCATCATCTTTTCAGTCAAATTCTTACATTTAGAATTAGAATAATAAGACAGTACTGTTTAGTGCAGAACATGAATGCATTTAACCTGCGATTACAAATGCATAAATAACGATTTTGATATCAAACAAAACTTAATTACCAAAACTTTAACTAAAATAATAATAATAAAAATAAATAAATGTTAATTTCATCATTCAGGGTCCTTGAGATAAATCATTTAAGAGAAAAAGCAGCAATAATTAACGTCTGTTTCTGTGCATATGCACTAGTGTCAGTTTTGACATGAAAAGCAGTTATTAACAATAAAAAGACCCAGATCTTCTAAAAAAAAAAAAAAAGGGGGACAAATAGTGGCCCAAATCATGCAACACAAACACATTACTGTCCTTCATCTCGCTCCTCTCGTCTGCCCACATACACTGAGAAACTGGACACTGGCCAACGCACAGAGACTATAATGAACGACGTACAGTAAAGCAGCCCACGAGAGGCTAAGCATTTACAGTGCAGGTCAGAGGATTAATGCATCTGCTGCAGACACACACACACACACACACACTCTAAAGGCGCAAGCAGACAGAAGAAGATGAGCATGTTTATCAATGGATGCATTGTAATGTATTTTATCAATGCATCAATTTAATGCGGCCTTGATGAATAAAAGTATTAATTTATATAAATAAATAAAAAAACTACTCACCCCAAACCTTTGCATGGTAGAATATATCTGCATTATATCAAGCACCCTACTCTCTGGTTTAATCTAGACATTAAAAATACACACAAATAAGTTTAATTTAATTTGAACAATATGTAGCATTTCTTCTTCTGTTGTTGTTGTTTTTTCTCCTTAACCTAAACCTGTGTTTGAACAATGCAATGAATTGCGAGCACTTTGAGGGCAGTGCTGGATGAGGGTTTGCAGGATATGTAATCAGGCTCGTGCTGAGAGCTGCAGTCGAGCAGACGATCTATCAGAGAGAGTACAGAGAGCACAGCACGCCGCCGCTGAATAACACACGGACACACGAGAGCCAAAGCGTTTCACTACAACACACAGACACGCCTCAGAGGAGCAAAGGTCATTTCCACCTCCAGCTCTTCGATCAGAATCAGTGTTCTCCTCACCGCTACTCTGCCATCAGATGAAGCGTATGAGTGCAGGACACACTCTAGTGCGTCAGGGGCCGATGACACTTTCTAGAAATCATAGTGGCTAATAATGCAGTTTAGTGACAGCATATCAAATGTAGACTAATAATGTAAATATGAAGTTAAAAGCGTCAGCGTCATTGAATCAACACATCAAACACATGCTGGTTTGGTCTGGCCAACACCGATGCAGTTTTGGTTTCTTTGTCTTGCTTAGTTGGCAACGCTTGACTGATTGCACAGACACTATTGAAGAGAGCTGAACTGCATGATCACATGAATCATCAATGAACTGACTTCAGCTGAAAAATGACTCTGTTATTGTCTTCTTGCATTAAAGACAAACTATTTTCCTGTTTGACACTGTAAAGCTGCTTTAACGCAATCAGTATTGTATAAAGCGCTATACAAATAAAGGTGACTTGAATCATTCATTCAAACGATTCATTCAAACGGCTGATTCATTCAAAAACAAAGCAAGTGACTGTCTTAATGAGCGAGTCATTGAATCATTGACTCACTCGATTCATTCAAAACCATGGATTCATTCAGTAATGAAACACCGCTGTGCGATGATGAGAGACGCTCAACAGTTCTGCTGTGGCTTTGATTGGAACTACTTTATCTTTTTTAACTCAACATTAACTTCTTGTTTATTGAACTGTTGTATTAGTATCAGCATCACATTTGCAGCGGTGTAGATATTGTGGAGAAACAGCACTCTTGCTGATATTGCTAAACTACATCATATGATATAAATATAAGAGGGTGATTTTTTCCCTTATATCGTGAATTTTAGGCTCTTATAACTGCATTCTGAATAGACTCCATCAGTCAGTCAGTCTTCCTGCATCATGATAAAATTAACACATTTAATCATGCCTCCTGACTGTAAGAGTGAATTTTCCAATGACTAGGTTAATTCAAGTTTTGTGCACCACTTTTTTTTGCAAAACCACAGATAGCTTCCCCAACCACACTTCCAGAGAGCAGGCAGTGGAGGCAACCAGAGAAAGCCAAAGATTAAAGAGACAAACAGAGAGTTAGAAATGCTCCTTACTTCGTGAGGCACTCCTGGGACTCGGTCTGGTTCTTTAAGTGGTGGTGAACAACTGCGCCTACAGCTAGAGGTCCGGCGTCTCCGCACAAGAAGCTGACGCGCCGTCCGTTCAGGTTCCTCAGCGCGCGTTTGACGTAATCCAGAGCCCGCTGCAGATGCGAGGCCTCCTGCGTCACTCGATACAGCTGCAGGTACAGCAGGGCTATGCCTGCCAATAACAATCACATTTCAAAGCATTTACCCCCACTACAGCATATTCAAAACATCTAACATTCAACTTTACTATTTATTATTTTCCATTCATTTCATATTAGGGTTTGCAATTTTCTTGCCACATCTGAAAAATTTAGATTCTAAATACAAATAAAATAAACCCCAATTTTCTAAAAATAACATTAAATAAACAAAAAAAAGAAATATTATTATTACATATATAAATAATGTATACAATTAAAACTATTTAAAACTATTTTCTAAATTAATTTTTTAAAATCATAAAATTTAACAATTTCATTTTTGAATGGTCACCATTGGCACATAATGCAACAAAGACCACTAAAGTCAACAGATTATTAACAAAAAGTATTAACAACACCTTACGCTTTGTTTTCACATTCGCTTAATTTTAATTTCAATGTGCAAATGATTACAGTATTTCACTAGATTTGTAATGAGACGCGTTTGTAAACCTGCTCTCACAGAAGCTGGAGTCTGCAAAAAAAAAAAATGCTCAAGTGTTCATCGCTTGCAAGCAGGACCTAAAATTAACAGACACACACAGAGAAAATACCGTAGAGGCACAGCACTGTTTACTGGAAGAAACATATCAATATTGGGGTTTATATGAATATATTTCTGAAGGGAATTGACTGACTTCAGAAAAGTTTTGATGGCATTTTTTCCCTTCTTACTTTAGTATAATGCATTTTAAACTAGTTAATAAGAGCAGCTGCTTTGTTTACAGCGGTAACCAGGGAAACACTGCAGTTCTGCTGTTCCAGAAGCGCCACCTGCTGTTACAACAGACATCTACAATCTAAGCTAAATGCATTAATAACATAAATTGTTATTAACTATTTTTTAATGAATTATTAAACATATGATCTAAACAGCTACATAGACATAAACCATTTGTCTGTTTGTTTGCATATTATAATACTTATTAATGAAATTAGCTAATGAGGCTGTGAAAGTGTGTTTCCAGATCACTTCATTAAATGAGAGTTTCTCACACGCGTCAGACTGATCTCATGTTTGATTTGACAGCAGCTAACATGCTAAAAACAAACCAAACAATGCGAGATCACACACCTTCCCGCCAGCGTCGAGCGGCTCGTTCGCGCCGCTGTGCTCCGCAGCGCTCGGGGACCCGGAGAGGCCCTGCTCCCGCGGCTCCCGGTCCGGGAACGGGTTGATGAAGCTGCGCTCCTCCATCTCCGACTCGGAGCCGGTGACTAGCTTCAGCCGCTTCGACATGTTCTCGCCCATCGCGACGGCGGCCCGCCAGGGACACTCTCTCTCACTACGGCAGAAACGCGTTTCGGTCCTGATGCTGCTGCTGCTGATGATGATGATGATGATGACGCTGGGTGAGGCTACTGATGAAGGTCAGGAGTCACTCCGACACTCTTCAGGGCTCTGTCCCTAAAGAAAACGTGTAGTTACTTTAACAGAACCTTAATTCGAAATAGAAAATCATATTTACTTCATTTATTGGATCAAAAATACAGTAAAACAGAAATATTGTGAAATATTACAATTTAAAATAGCTGTTTTCTATGTGAATTGATGTTAAAATGTAATTGAATGCTACTTCATTAATACTTTTTTAGGATTTTTTTTTTCTCCACGTTTATTGTTTTTAGTTATTGAAGTGTTCCCTTTCAAGGGAACTTCGAACTGCGTCCTCTAGGGGGCGCTATGGGGAACGCCTCGTCGTGACCCGTGTCTGAAGCATACATTGAAAAAACACCAACAACACGTTGGCCGGCGACAGCCCATGACGTCACTACCGGTGCGACTATTAGTATAAATAGGCGCCGGGAGAACATGTCATTCTCTTCTTCGTCTTCACTGACTGTTTTTTTTTTTGAAGCGTGCATTTGAACGTGGTAAGAGCGATCTCTATCCTATTATTATGGCGAGCACTAGCAGAACGTTTAGAGGATGTGTGCATCCGTGTTGTCGTTGTTTAACATCTGATGACACACGCGATCTATGCGTTATCTGTTTGGGCGAAGAGCACGCACGCGATGTCTCCGAGGGGCAATCGGCGTGCACTGCGAGCGTTTTTTCTAAGGAAAAAGCTCCGCTCTCATTTGTCTCTCTTTTCGAGGAAAGAGGGGCAGCCATCTGCTTCCCGCGATTCAGGACCCGCCGCTGCTGAGGCACGGAGGAGAATGAACTCGTGGGGATCGCATGTGGATCTGGCCGATGAGTTTGCTTCATACCACCTTACTGATGGTCCGGACTAGAGGCTTCTCTGGAATCGCCTCTGGAACGGGGTTCCGGCGTGGGAACCATGGTGGGTGAGTATAATCCATTCTATATATACAGTATATACAGTATATATATGTGTATATATATGTATTTATTGTGCTGGTGGTTATGTGTGTATAATCCTTCTGTGAGATTTCTTTGCAGTGTTTCCGGGACCTGTGTGTTTCTGTCCTCTCTAAGGTAGGTCATCTGTGAGCACACCTTTGCTGGATTCAGAAACCAGGTGCTCGACTTGCAGTATTACCTCACTCGTCGACATTATGTCCAGCCGGTATGATAGCCCTGGTTCCGACTTCATGCTTCCTGGATCATGCGGCCAGGTCAGAGGCTTCT